CGCTCACCGCTCACCTCAGGTTAGCAACCGCAGGTCCCAAAATAAACGCACAAGAGGCCCGCACCTGCCGCCCGCTGGGGAAGGAGGAGCGGCCAGCGAGAAGGAAAACCCGCAGCCCCCCAATAAATAAATAAATAATTAACAAATAAATAACAAACAAATAAATAAATAAATAATAAAATCGAAAACGCTTTGGGGAAGGAGAGGGAGGGAGGACGGTTGAGGAGGCGACCTGGAGCCCCTCCGAGCCGGGCATCTGTTTCCAGGGTGGGCTCGGCAGGCCTCGGGCAGGGCTGCGCTGTGGGGAGAGGCGGGAGAGGCCGGGGCGACCCCCCCCCAGCTCCCTTCCTCCTCCGCAGCTCCGGGAAGAAAGGGGACTGTGTGTGTCGGAGCAGGCGCCGGAATCAGCGCCCCGCTTCAGGGGTGCGCCCGGCAGCCCGGCCAGAGGGGGGCGGGGGAGTGGAAAGGGGCGCGAAGCCCGGCCCGGGGGTGCGGTGGGGTGGGGGGCGGAGGGAGACCCTTCAGACCATCCAGGGGCGCCAACCGGGACCGCAAGAGGCCAGGGCCCCCGGGGCGTGTGGAGCAGGAGGCGGGGTGCTGGGCTGCAACCCCCAGGGCAGTGCCCCCGGCCCGGCCCGCAGCTCAGGGACACCTCCTTCCTCTCCCACCCCGCCAGCGGGCCCAGGTTAGCCGCTCCCCAGGAGTGGATTGCGGGGTGCAGGGTTGGGGCGCCCGCTTCTCGGCCCGGAGTGCGGTACTCTGGCTCTCCCGGGGGTCCCTCAGCCCATCGCCCGCCCACCAGCTCCCCATTTCCTCCCCCGCCGCCGAGGCTTGGTGGCTCTCGGCCAAGCAGCAGTGGAACCGGGGGGCCGGCAGGGTGAAGGGGGTGTTGGGAACGCAGTGGGCCCAGGGAAAGAGGTGGGGGGCAGTGCATGTGAGGCAGGCGGGGAATCGCTTCGGGATGGGGCTGCGCTGTTGGTGATGGGGAGGTCCGTGGACCCCCATTCCCGCCGCTCCCACGGTGGGGACAGGTGGACCGCGCGCGCCCCGCACCAGCAAGCAAGGTGCTGGGCTGGCTGTTGGGCACCAGCTGGGGACCTAGGGCCCCCAGAGACCCGAACCGGGGGAGCTTGCCCTTAAAGGCCTCCGGCTCCCAACTTTTCTGTCTCTCTGGCAAAGCTAACGGATTTGCTTGGCTGCAGCGCGTGCCCCCCCCCGCCCCCCAAAAGGTCCAGGCCGGACCGAAAAGCTCCAGAAGCAAACAAAACCCAAGCAGCAGCCACGCTGGTATACGGCGGACCCTTCACGCCCTTCCACGACTGCCCCCCCACCCCCCGACCCAACCCGACGACCCTGACACACGCGGGAGAAAAAGGACGCAGGCATCTGCTCCCCATCTTTTCCGAAGCAGCCGGCGCTAAGCTACCAGGACACGGTCCTCACCCTGGGGTCTCCGAGAGTGCCCCGGGGCTCCCAGCGAGCGCAGCCAGCCGTCTTTGGGACCCTCGCACAGCCTAGTCTCAACCCAGGCCGCTGAGGGAGGAGGGAAAGAAATCGCTCACGCAAACCCAGCCAAGCCTGTTTTTCCTGCTCCTCCCTGGTGAAGCCCCAGGCTGCCCCTAAAAGCGCTCCAGGCGGTGGTAACGGACGCTTCTCCTCGCAAGGAAGGGAAAAGGACAGAAGAAAAGAGAAGAGGGAAGCCCCGGGATGCTCACAGTTTGAACAACTCCAGCCTCCACGACCAGGCTGCCTCGCAGGGAGCCGGCGCTCGCTGGCTTCCCTTCCTCCTCAGCCCGGACTGCAGATAGATAACCCCCCCACCCCCCGACTCTCTCTCTCCACCACTCGCTCCTGTTTATTTGGAGGGAAGGCAGCTCCACTTTGTAAACACATCACACACGGCCCTCCCTGCCTCCCCAGCCCTTGAAATAGCTGATGGCAGCAAAATGGTCCCAGGGTGACCCCCCCCCAACTCACATACCTTTTTATTTATTTATTTTTAAGTCGCAATAAAAGCAAATGTCTCCGTGGGGATGTCGCACAAGACGGGGCCGCCCATAGAGGTCCACACAACCAGCCACGACGGAGAAGCGGAGTGGCCGCAGTTGGAACCAGTAAGGTCTGGCCCGAATTTTCAAAATCAGAGGGAGAAAATAAATAAATAAATTAGATAAATGTCAGACCCAGATGTGCGTGTGGGGAGGGGGGTGTGAAATGTCTGCCACCAGCCAGAAGCCACTACCTTTTGGGAGCGAGAAATGGCAAGTCGAAATGTTTAAATGGCTTTGAAAGAAGAGAAAAAATAAAGGAGGAGGAGGAGGAGGAGGAGGAGGATAGTGAATCCGAGAGACAAATTAAAACCATACATACCTTGGCGGTCCATGGTTACATTGGCAGCGAGAGTTCTCTTCACTTCTCCAGATTTTTCCAGGAGTATGATTCAGGAGGATGTGCACACACCAGCAAGGTCTGCTTATCCAAAGGAATGTGAGGACCACAGATGACACCGAAATCCGGAGGGAATTCCTCGTTTCTGCTCTGGAAAGTCAGTGGCCAGCAAGAAAAAGGAAGAAGAAAAATAAAATCAGAATTGGGGCAGGAGGCACAGAGCTGGAGACTGCATAGGAGCTCAGTACCCGGAGATGGAGACAGGGAGAAAGACAGGGTTTGAGGGGAAAAGGGAGACTGAGAAACCAGGTCCTGCTGTCTCAGAGCTCTCCCTCTGCTATTGGACCAAACTGAATGAAATTTACAAAGCCGGCAGCCAATAGATCTCCGCACTGGGCTCATCAGCACAGAAATCATATCCACAGCTACAACCTAGGCAAAGAGCAGCTAATCCGAGTGCAAACCAACTATGACTCGGAGCTCCTGCTGCCCGGGTAGGAGGACAGGGCACACACTGGCCACTGTGCCAGAAGTCCCCCTGGGCCACTGGGATCTTCTGATAGATACTGGGGCATCAAACAGGCTATGGGAGTGGCCCACATCTTTACATCTTTAACCCTTTGAGGTCCTCCTCCCCAGGAGTCCGGGGGTCAGAGGGTCACCATTGCTCCACGTTTTGTGTTAGTAGAATTAAATTATATTTTGCAAAAATATTGTTTTTAAGGGCAGCATCATTAGGGTGCAGTTCTCTTAGACTCGGGACATATCTTGTGCCCCAGTGAGGAATCGTAAATGTGGATTGCTTTTGTTTCTCTCTCTGATACACTCACGATTTGGATGGAAATACTGGAGCCGTGGCTGCCGGTGAGTGGTTAGATTTAAATATCTTGTATGTGCTGTGAAGTTCCAGAAATGGATCCTTCTAGGCTGGTTGATTGTTCAGCAGTGTGACCTTGTTTTCAAAGTTTGGTAGCAAAGCTGGCTTGGAATGGGCACCGTCTAAAGTTCCTCTTTGATGAATCAGACATCAGCATTTAGCTCGCTGAAGGGCTGGGGATGTACCGCAATGCTAGTGAGCTTGCACAGCATTGTGGGGGCTTGCGTTCAATCTCCAGTAACATACCATGCTTGCACACACACACACACACACACACATACACACACACACACACACTCCAAGCATATACCTGTAGGAAACTGAACGCAGATTTTTAAGTAAGAATGGTTGGGTTCAAGATGCCTCTGAGCTTATATTTAAGCATTTTTTTCTGTTGCCATATCTAAAACATGAAGATAATAAAAGTTACCATCTCCTCATCATGTTATAGTGATCCGTGCATGCTTGTGTTTACAGCAGCACAACTCATATCACCTAAATTTTGGAAGTAGCCTAAATGTCCAGCAACAGCTGAATGGATAAAGGAAATGGATTTGCACACAATGGAGTACTACTCTGCCAGAAAGAAAAACATGAGTCATCTGTAGGAAAAATGGATGAGCCTTGAGACCATAATGTTAAGTGAAATAAATCAGACACACAAGCTTAAATATCCCATGGTTTCTTTCTCTTTATGAGAAGTCCAAATTATGCATCTATAGCAAAATGAAAGATAATAGAAAGTAGGGAGATAGATCTTTCTAAACTAGGAAGGGGACTGAATAGTTTCTCTAGTGTGAGAAATTGAAAGTGTAAATAAGGATGAAAATGATTAAAATGAATAATTGATAATTTGAAATACGAAAAGGTTCAAAGATGTAAGGGTGGTAGGAGGGGAAGGGGAAAGGAAAGAAGGGAAAGGAAAAATTATGAGAAAGAAAAAAAAATGGAAACAAAGTCTATGTAAATAGGGAAGGGTGGAGGGGGTGAAGGGTGCACAGGGAATGGGGAAAAATTGAGAACCAAGATACGTCATATACCGGTACAAGCACCCAATGATAAATGTAAATGTACTGTATACCTAAAATGTACCGATAAATATAAAAAAAAAAAGAGAGATGGGGAAGGGGGAGGCAATGGAGAGGAACAAAGGAATTAGGATGTGTTATGTCCATGCATCAACTAAAAACAAGAATGTAAACATTATATATGCAAATGGAACAATAATAAAGGAAATACAAACTAATAAAGAAACGTCTCCCAATGTGATGATTGTTTTGTTATAGGAAGTGACACTCAAGAGCCCTAAATAAATATTTGCTTACCCTAAACATTTTTTTATGATTCATTGATTCATTTCTGGAAAAAACAAATCATCACCTCTGCAAAGAGGATGTCCTTCAGCTTTAGGCATTAATCCAAGCCTTCTGCTCACGGTGAGCACTGGGTGTGGAGGCATAACTAGGATTCCTTGAAAACTCTTGAAACGGCGATTCTTGGACAACTGGGTTAGTCCTGGGGCTGCTCATGGATAGAGAATTAGTGGGCACGATTTTATACCAAGCCTTTACTCTTGATAATTTGCTTTGTTCAAAGGCTGGTTATATTCTTTGAATCTTAAAAAACAGAATCAGAGATGAAATGTAGCTCTGACCAGCAGGTGAATGGATAAAGAAAGCAGGGCACTTATACACAACAGAGCACTACTCTGCCATAAAGAAAGATACATTTGAATCATTTGTAGAAAAATGAATGCACCTTGAGGCCATAATGCTAAGTTAAAAAAAAATCACAAATAAACACAAGCTTCAATATCACATGGTTTCTCCCGTACAAGAAACTTAAAGTGTAAATAAAGAGCAAAATAAAAGATAGATGACAGGAAACAGGAGATAGAGGCTTTATAAATGGGAAGGGGACCAGGAGATGGAGGGAAGGGAAGGACGGGTAGGGAATGATTGAAAAATACTCGGATTGGATCTATACACATACACATGGAACCCTGGAGAATAGCACCTAGTGGGAGGTCTTGTGTCCTTGGGCATTGCCTTGCAAGAGACAGTAAGAATTTTGTCTCTTTGAGTCCCATATTTCCATCTTGATAGTCTGCATGTCCACATCCTGAAAGATACTAATCATGAACTGAAACCTCCCCATCTGTGAGCCAAAATGAAATCTTTTGTCCTTGTAAGTATGGTGTCACATATTTGTTAAGGGCTAAAACAAAGTGTGAAAGTACCTTTAACACACACACACACACACACACACATCCACATCCACACACATTGAGCCTATGATAGAATAAACATTATAAATATATTTGTATAGCCACACATGCATTCATATTATTGAATAGACATTTTAAACCATATATATATATATATATATATATATATGTATTACACCGAGGATTGATATATATTAAAAAACATCTGACATAGTAATATTGTAAATAAGTACTGCTTTACCTCTGAATCTGTAACAGAAATAGAGATATACAGACATAAATATTGATACCTAAGTTCTAATTGAGACATTAGAAGCCAAATTTCAATTGCAGCACTATAATTAATAAGAGGTGAGAAACTCATAGAGTTTGTCAAGAATGCATCAATTGATTGACTGATTTATTTATGAATTCATTCAGTACTTTTTGAACATGGGTTGGTTCTCAGCACTGTAAATGCACCTGTGCCTGACATGTAACAGTTTATTTTGGAGAAAATACATGTCTAGTGGATAAGAGGGTTTACACCAGGAGAATGCAGTGTGATTACAAGAAGTTGTGTGAAAGCTGTGTGATATATGCACTCACGGGGATGTACAAAAGAAGAAATGATGAAGGGTTTCCAGAGGAAGACTACTCCAGGCAAGGAAGGAATGGCAAAGAGACACTGGTCAGTTGGAGAAGGTGAAACAGAAGCTGAGAAAACATGCTGGGTAAGAAAGCTCAACAGTCAATTTCTTGCAGATATCTGGAAATTGGGAACATTTGACCCAAGAGGCAGGGAACAGATTTTGAAAAAATAAAAAAAGAGAGAGAGTGAAGAATGGATGCGGACTTATAATTAGGGCAGGTTTTGAGAGGTACGCTTCCAAAGGTGGGATTTATCTGGTAGACAGTGAGGAGTTAATAACATATTTTAAGTAGGTGGCAAGGAGGAAAACAATCAGATTTATATTTTAAGATAATCATTCTGGTAGCAATATGGAGGAAGAGTTGGAGGAGGGCAAGGTGAAAGAAAAGAAAAATAATGTTTCTGAGATTTTTGCAAAGGAGGGTTGCCCTGGAGAAATGAAGTTTTGAGAGAGATGGGGGGCAGAGAGAGAGAGAGGAGAGAGAGAGAGAGAAGGCAGAGGAGGAAAAAGGTGAGGAGGAAGATAAAAGGAGGAGGTGAAGAGAAATAAAAAAGAAGAGAAGGAAGAGGAGGAGTAGGAGAATGAGAATAGGAAGGAGGGTGGCAGAGGGAAAACACAAAAAAGGAAGAAGAGAAGAGTTAGACAGAGGAGTTGTTATGTGGAAAGAACATTTCTGCTTTACCTCAGCCAAATAAACTACTTTGAGAGGCACTGTTTGTGTCATGGGCCAAATCTCAGTTTTAGGCTTTGTTTGTAGATTGGCAGATGTCTTCCCTGAGACGCACCACGTAGGAGGGGTAGGCAAGCGCATTTTCATTCCCATCAGACTGACCCGATTGAGCTAAGAAAAAAAATTACAAGCATCTTAGGCAGACAAAATCCTCATTTTAGAAAAAGCAAATGCGACGTTTCATGAGTCTGTGATTTCCTTTCATCTAACATCCTCTGTAGGAGATGAAGTTTGGAAAAGGCAGCGGCAAAGCATATTGGTTTTTAACATTTGGGGGAGCAGAATGTAACCCCATCCAAGGACCTGTAGGGTTCGAGACCCGGGTTTGAGGAAGAGGCAAAGATGTCATTCTTCCTGCTGGTGCTTCACATCTAATCATGGAGTATTGTGAGACAAAGAGGAATGTCGTACAAAGATAGAAAGCAATAAGCTACAGGGGACGATGCATGGATCTATTGGCTGGGTTTGCTACTAGAGATGTGGAAGGAATGTGAGAGATGACCAGTGATGACCTACTCATGCTCCCAGGCCTTTCCATTCTGTTAGACCCAACAGGTACAGGCTCATCTTTCTGTAGGGTCGATATTGTCAAACCTAAACCCAATTTTAGTTGCTAGAGTTTGCATCTAGAGAGTCCATCAAAAGCTCAACTGTTGATGACTTCATCCCCCAAGTTGGGTGTTTTTGAGAAATGTGCCATTTAAGAGGCAAGGCACGGATTAGTAGAAATGCATCCTGGAAGTGGATATTGACACGTGGCTCCTTGTTTTTCTTTTTAGTTCCTGGCCACCATGACATGAGCAGCTTCCAGTTATGTTTCTGTCTCACCACAGGCCCAAAGGGCATGGTGCTGTGAAACCATGGACTGAACCCTCCTAAGCCGTGAGTCAAAATAAACCTTTTCTGCTTTAAAATTGCCTCAGGATGATTATCACAGTAATGGAAATCTGACTAATACATTGGACAAAGCAGATAGATGGTTGGATGATTTAAACAAACTTTACGAATGTAATGGTTAAAATGAAACAGAAATATGATTAAGTAGAGTAAGTGTAATAAGACTTATTAAATAGCAGGCATTATTGAAATAAAAACATGCAACATAAGATGTGCTCAAATCAAAGAGAGTGATGAGATTTTTCAATTATTAAATTCCAATGTTATATATGATACATGGCATTTTTATTTTTGTTTGTTTGTTTGTTTTGTTTTTTTGGTACCAGGGGTCGAACTCAGGCTCTTGCCTTTGTGCAGCAGGCGGCGAAACCACTGAGCCAAATCCCCAGCCCAATACATGGCATTTTTAGTACATGCCTGTACTACATAGTATTTGTATTGATTGTGAGGAATTGGGACATGTATGTAATACATCTTAACTCCTTTTTTATCCCCTTCTGCTCTCCTCCCTCTCATTTTCCTCCATCTCTTGATCCCTTGTTTTCTTTTACATGTTACCAAAGTAAAATGTTTACTTTCCTTGAGTGGAGTTCGTGCATGTACATGACACATATGAGTTCATTTTTTCATCCCTTTCTCTCTCCTTCTTCCCCTCTTGCTGCATCTCCTGATCCCTTTCCACTTGGAGAAATATCTCTCTTTCAAAAGCATACCAGAGGTATATGGCATGCTTTCTATTGGGATGATAAAGAAATCCTTCACAGGTAAACAAGGTTTTCATGGGAAAAGAGAGAGTAGAGATAGAAAATTAGTCCAAGTGAATGAAATCTAGAAAAGAGAAATGGATATGGGGTAGACAGAGGCTTTGAAATCTCAAGGTACATAAGGAACAATCAGGTGATTTGTTTGAAAAAAATATGTTCCTAGAACTCAACAAATGGATTCAGATTTAATAGGTCTAGAGTTTGTTTCAGGAATTTGCATTTTGCAATGTTAAGGCTACTTTGTCAAATGAGAGTAGCACAGATAGGAAATTGATCTCTGAAAATATTGTCGTTGGAAAGTTGCTGATAGGATCAGAGACACAGAGAACACACACACACACACACACACACAAAAGAGTCAGAGGCAGGACTGATGGAACTATGGGAAGTGATGAAAATTCAAGGAAGTGCAGGTGACTTATTTGAGACTCATCTGGAGCAAAATGGTAGCAGGGTTCAACTTTAAGGGTGTTTCCTCTGAGGCAATTTAAAGGATGGCTTCAGGGCAGGGACCTTGTGGGATGAGGACAGTGAGTTTCTGCAACATCTATATATACTAGGGCAGTCATAGTGAAAATTTAAAAGAAAATATTTGACTGTGACCTCTGTAGTAATTACAAAATTTGAAATCGTAAGAGCTGATTGAAAACACATTACTTTGCTACAACAGGGAGAGATTAGAAGATTTCTTTGGTGTTGAAAAATAGGACGCTGGAGTGAATTATAATGCACTCAGTCAAAGGAAAATTTACCACTGGAAAAAAGGAGATTTTCGCTTGATATGCTAGTGCTTTGTAGTAATGCAAATTATGTACAGATTTTGGGTTCTGGGATGAATAACATTTGGCTTCTATAGGAGCATAGAGTGGGATACGCAGATCTGAGAGCACACTTCATGAATATGTCGCATAAAAATATTAGGCAGAAGAAAGACAGTGGTAGATTAAAAATTGGGGTGGTGCCACATGGACCAGGATCTAGATGGCAACAAGAAAAATACAACCATTAGGAAAAGACTTGGTACAAGAAAGCACAGTATGTATTTCAAGGAAGGACTTTTAACTCAGTGAAGAGTAGAAAGGTGTCAGATCTGGGATTTAAAGCAGAGGGGAGAAGGCTTTTGCATGTTAGAGTCTATACTTCATTGACAACCTTCAGGTAAGTATTTACCTTGATGCATTGTAGGCAACAGGGAAAAGGGATGCTACCAAAACCCCTGCTCTCCTGTGAGTCAGGACAGTATGAGGTGAATTTAAAAATAAAGACAGGAAATGAAACAGAGAAGAAGCTGAGTTCTGGCCTGATCAGTGCTGCTCTATGAAGCAAAGATGAAGGCACCTTGATCTTGTCACTATTTATTGGGTTCAAAGTGAGTAACAGATATCTCAGGGGATGAAGATATCTTAAATATACAAAGATCTTATAATTTGAGGAAGTGGAAGATGACTTGGAGGGTGGCAGGAATCCTAGGACCATGAGGGTCTTATGCTGATGAGGATCTTACGTGGATTGTAGATGGTAAGATGAGCAAAGAAGCGCTTACAACAAAAGGTGGGATGAGTTAAGCTGATAAGAAATTTTTCCCTCCCCAGGTGAAACCTTTCTCTTACTACTTAGTTCTCAAGGAACCAGGATGTCTTCAGCTGATGTCATCTTGCCCTTGAGCATCACAGAATCACGGGACCATTGAGGTCTCAGCTGTGACCAGAGGCAAAAACAAAGTTATGTTTCTGCATGTCATAGCCGGCTTGCAGGCACGAAGAATAGGCCTAATCATAATTTAATTGTGAAATGATTTTTCCTCAAAATTACGTAGAATACCTCCTGATAATTCATAAGTAGGATTGTGATGAGGAAGTTAAAACTCTAATTTCAGTCTTATACAGAAGAGGGAAAATAATAGGACCAATCCCCCTAGAAGTAGTGGGGTCAAGGGAGGGTATTTTTAAGTATCATTTCCTGACCATTGTTTAAAATTCATTTATTCTGTAGAACTGAATCTGAGAATTGTTGCTGATTCCAAGTGCTCTGCAAAATATCAAGGTTGGATAAAAAAACACAGTTTTTGGCCTCAAATATCTAATTGTGAGACTCTTTACTCGTGGCTCTTATCAGAACTGTTCTGTTTTCTTTTTACTTACCTGTGAGTTTATTTATGGTGTTTCTTGCTTTCATTTACAATTGTCCACACAGCCTTGGGTAAAAGAAAAACATATCTGTCCAGCATGTTGATGATAAAATGCCCTGGATGGTCATACTTATGTAAGACTTGAATTTCAGAAGATGAAGTTTAATACATTTGAGAGGGGATAGGGTATGGAATGACCCTTAAATTATGTCTATATCTGTATACAATGCATGGTAGATATAGCTGATGTAACTAGAGTACATAGCATATTCAATTTATGAGGAAATATTTGAGTAGTGTTATTCCCCATTCTAATAACTAGATTAAAATATATAATTATCAATAACATGGGTTGAATAAGACAAATCTACTGAAGAGTCTGGAAATATTTGTTCTCTTCTGGCCTAGCAAATTCCATTCCATCTTACTTGAGACTCCACAGTTGCTAAATATACTTTTTTCTTTCAGTGATACAAAGTAAACTCCGAACCACCTGGTGTTGAATTATCATGAATTTCAAATTAACGCCAATCAATTCAGTGAGGTTTTCTCTGACTAATGTATGTACTTTTCTTATACGTGAATAAAAGAGTTCAGGTGGAGGAGATATGGAGTGGATCTAGTCAACTCCCATTAGTGCCATATTTTATAAAGCTTAATAAACTTTAAGGAAATAGGTTAAAGTTTATATTAAGGTTAGAGTTCTTATTTTCCAATAGGAAGTCGTGTGTTTCCCTAATCCAACCTTTGCATCTGAGAAATGGGAACGATGCTGTCCTTGTGGGTATCAGTCTTCTCCTAGTGTGATAAAGACATGGCCCTTTAACTTTTGTTAGCTTAAACCCATAAAATACTATTAATTATGTAACACACACAAACTGCAGCAAGACCTGTTCTCTGCTGGCTTTCTGTCTGATTATTTTAAATCCTGTCCTTGGTTATTATTTCATCACCAGGCATGATTAGCCTAAATGACTTTTAAATGGCCTTGGTTTTTAAAAAGTAGTCAAGCTCCATGATTTCCCTAAATTCATGGATGATGAGAAATCCATTAAATGTTGCTTTAGTAAGAAAACCAAGGACGTTGAATCCCAAACAAGAGGTCCAAAATAGTTAGAGCTCATTTCTAAATGACATTTTGGAGTGACATTCCCAGCGTTATTGCCTGAGACGTTTTAATGAAAAATCTTTGAAAATAACTATATCCCTTTGATAAACAACAATATGTACTATACTTTAAAATGATGGTAGAAAAACCACATAGAATCTCCTTTCTCTGAATTAATAGGATCTTTCACATTATTGAGACAAATAGATAGAGATAGATAAATGGATAGACAGATGATGGTAGGTAGATGTAGGTGGATAATTAATAGATAAGAGATATAGATAAAGGATAAGTGTGGATATTAGATATAGATAGGTGTAGGTATGTACATAGAGGTAAGTAGATGATACATGGACAGATAGATGTAGATAGATAATTATATGCAGTAGTTGCTGATAAATAAGTAGATACATATAGATAGAGGCCCGTTTAATAGATATATCACTATATCTTTCTTCATATGGATATATATGTATATATAATTAATCATACTGGGAATCTTTCTCCATATGAATATCTATATATCTCTATTACCAACCACTCTGGGAAGATAAAATTCCTCTGTATCACATAGAAATAGAGACAGATGAAAATGACAGAGCTATGAATATCTACAGAGATATATTGAAAGAGATCTACATTTACATTATATATTTTCATATATCTACATCCATATCTATATATCATGGTAGAGAGGATTTTATAATCCCATCAAACCAACAAAAGAAATAAAGGAAAACATAGTGCATTACTAGGTACGTGTCCAAAGGACATGTAGGTTAGCCAAACAAGCTCTCAATGGCCAAGGAGGGACCAAACTTGAGCACTAAAATAACCAACACAGTTGTCTTCTTCACTTTCTGGTCTATGAGACACAATACCACACACACGATTTAAAGGAGGAGAGCTTTATTGACTCTCAGTTTCAGCTCTTGGTCAGCTAGTTTCAAAGCAGAAAAGATGTAGTGGAAATATCTAGGCAGGGAAAGCTGCTCCTACCATGGGGACCAGGAAGCTGAGGGGGAGACAGGAGCCCCTGTACTGAGAGGTCTTGAGGTCCACTGCAGCCATGTTCAGAAGTGGGGCCTAGAGAAGTGAGTGGATTATGAGCATGCTGACCTCATAATAAGCCATTGGTGAACTCACAGCTGAGTGGGCTGTAGGAGGTGGAGATCTGTTGGAGGAAGTAGGTGCTTGAGGAGGGGGTGTGCCTTTTAAGGAGATTATTTCATCCCCAGCTCCTTCCTGTCTGATTTTTCCCCCTACTATCTCTGTTTTCTGACTACCATGAGGTGAGCAGCTTTCCTCCGCCATGCCTGTCTGCCATGATGTTTCTGCCTTGGAGCCAGCCAACCATGGACTGAAGCCTCTGCAACCACAGTCACAACAAAACCTCTTCTCCTTTAAGCTGTGGATGTCAGGTAATTGGTCACAATGATAGAAAACTGACTAATATGGAAAGGGCAAAATATGAGCTAGTTTATGGTGGAGAAATCTACCAAACACAACTTCGCTAAATGATGGTCAACATCAATATGGAGAAGCTGTGTTGTGGGTAGGAAGCATTGCTCTGGTGGTGGAAATAGTACTTCATCTCGGTGGACTTTTTTCCCCCTCAAAACTCACATAGCCCCAGTTTATCATGAGAAAAAATATGACAAATCCTAAATGAGGAATATTCTCCTCAAGAAATGGCCATTTCTCCTTTCTCAAATCACTCAAGGCATGAGAATCAAAGCTGGTGAAAATTTCACAGCCCGAGAAGCCTGAGGAAATATGATTGGGATGTGCACTGTGGTATTTCAGAGGGAAATTGGACAACAGCAATGAGATGAGGTAACAAATTTCAGAGTACAAGTACAGATTTCACTCGAGGATAAAACGACAATAGTCACTTGTGGATTGTAGTACACATAGTACAGTGAATAGGAGATGTTAATCATACATAGGCCCCATGTGTAGGGTGCATACCCCCGTCTGTACTAGCTTCAGAATTTTTCAGTTATTCCGCAAATGTTCTAAAGATAAAGCTTATTAATAGAGAAGTTTTAAATGGTAAAAATGGAAAAATATTCATGGGAAATGGGGACTAAACCAAGGGCCTTTACCTCAAGCTATGTCCCTACCTCTTTTTAAGTTTTTTTTTCCTTTGAGTTTAGAGGTAGGGTCTTGCCATTTTGTCTAGGCTTGGCTCTAACTTCCAGTCATCCTGCCTCAGTCTCCCATGACATGGGGAATATCATGTGTACTACAATGCCTGCCTCAGATTTTTTTTTAAATTAGTATCAATTTCATTATACTGTGTCAACATGAAGCTAGAAATAAATAATGGTATGAGCCATAATATATATGTAAAATTTTAAAGATTATATATGAATGATATTTGGCATGTACCATAATTTACATATATGTATATGCTAAATTTTTATGTTAGTTTTCTTTCAGTATAACAGGTACTCGTGATAATCAACTTCTAAAACAAAAACAATATTTTGGCTCACAGTTCTGGAGGTGCCAATCTATGGCTAATTGTCCCTTTTACTTTGGTGGGGAGGAACATTATAGGAAGAGCATATGGCAAACCAAAGCCACTCACTTCATTGACAGGAAGCTGAACAGAGGGGGAAAAAACAATTGGAATGGGACTGCAGTATCTTTGTAGAGAGCGAGACCCCCATGAGCTAATGACCTCTCACTGGATACCAGGTCTTGAAGATTCCAGTATCTCCCGCCATGCTGGGAAGCTAGCCTTTAACACATGGACTTTGGGGAGACTTAAGTTCCACACTGCGGCAAAATCAACCCATTGGCTATCTCTACCTAGATTAACTTGGTTTTAACCAACACAGTGTCTCAAATTTGAAGGGAGGTCACACGTGTGCTTTGAAGATGAGGATGGTGACTTCCACCTTGGGAGCTGGCTCTGTCTCTGGCTGACTTGATTGTACTGACTTTCCACGTTGAGAAAGTCCCATACCGAGAAGCTGATAATGTTATTGGTGAATAGTCAATGGAGAGTTGAAGTCCTCAGGAAAACAGCCTGTGGGAAACGAAATCCCACCAACATCCAAATGAGCTTGTGTATATTTCCCCAAAGAATCCTCTAATGAGAATCCTCAGTCTTGCCTGGTAAGGAGATCCCTGCTTATAAGGAACTTCAAAGCAGAGAACACAACTGGAATCTTCTTTAAGTTCTGATGCACATAAGCTTTGAGACATGAAATAGACGTGATTTTAAACTTTCATGAGGTGGAAGACAACAAATATTACTTTAGTACATATGAATGTGTACATGGATGGATGGATGGATCAATGGATGGATGGAAGTGAATAAATGTCGCATAAAAGGTACAATAGATAGGAAGTTGAAAGAAAGTTAACTAACTTGAATAAACATGAGTATTGTAACCATTGAAGGATTACAGCTACAGCATTCCCAAACGCAACATTGAAGAAAGAACTAAAAGAAAAAAAACAAAACAAAACATCCATCATTAGCCCATAAAATCTTCCAAAAGGTATCAAATTAAACGGCAAGAGGTATTTGACGACCAAATCTATTTTTTTTCTGCATCCAGCCAAATAGAATTTCTCTATTTGGGGTGAGAATTATTTAACTGTCACCCACAGTGCAAAGGATTAGCAGAGCTGTCTTCTACCCATGCTTCTGTGTGCTCAGCAGTGTGGGAGAGAAATATTATCCAAGTTTTTAGGACTAATAGCCTGCAAGTTATAATTTGTTGAGGTATGTAGAAAAGGTGATCAAAATATATTGTGACTGTTTAAATTTTTTTAGCCAATGTACTACTGTAAACCACACATTACTATCAATCCCTCTCAATGTACTCCCCCTTGCCTCAAGCACTCTTGTCCCATTGTTCTTGACACTTTCTGCAGCAGTTCTGGAAGTCTTCTTTCGCGAGTGTCTTTACAAGTTGTCATCAAAAATACAGTGAATGTTGCTGCCTAGTGCCTTCCAACAGAAAGGCAGGCTTGTAAGCTGTGACTTCATCTAGCTTATTTATCAGTGCCAGCACCATGTGACTTCTGCCTCCTTCACAGGGTCAAAATAATCAACATTTTTAATCTTTTCAGGACACGGAGGCAGCCAGAACAGTGCAATTAAAGCCATTCAGGAAAGAGGACTTCCAGAACTGCTTCAGAAAGTGGCATGAACCATAGGATAAGTGTGTTCAAAGTGAGAGGTGGGATATTGATGGAGATTCAGGGCAATGTGTCTTTCACTGCAATAATTCTTTTAATTTAAAAGTTCACCATATATTTGTACATATGAAAAGATTTTCAGTCAAGCTTCTTTACCTAAAGTCTAGTGGTGTTTGTGGTTACTTTGTTCTCTGTTCCCTCAGTGTCCTGAGTAGATGAGAATGTGGAAGAACATCTGTGGACTCCACCCATTCAATGCTAGTACCACTACCGGCCTATGCTATGTCCCACCAAAGATATCTTTAGATGACCCTCGGTGTCTATTGGAGATGAAAATAGCCCTTATGGAGAACCTTCACTCTAAAACAATGATGAATTAAAAAAAAAAAAAGAAGAAGCATGCCCCATCTTTCCATCTGTACCACACTAAAAACTGTCCCTGGTAATGATTCTCTCTGGAGTTACCATGGAAGTTTTTTGCATCCATGTAGTAAACAGCTATAGGTGCTTCATAGAATGTTTAGCTATCCACATTCTCCCGCAGAATATCTGCATGAAGATTCCTTTTTCATTATGATGAGTGAAATGGTCCCTCTGCCCTTGGTAATACTCATGACCCTGGGTTCAGATGAAGGTTGAGGGTGTTCACAGACACCTGCCACGAAGCTAACCTTTGGTTGGCTGGTCACGCACTGCCACTGTCTCGACGTTCCTCGTGTTCCTTCACCTTCCCTGGTTGACCTGTAGTCTCTGAGATATTCTTCCAAGTTACATCAGTGCCACTTCCGCCCATGAGCTTATTTCTCCAAAAACCCTCCCTAAGAAATATTATTTGTCCTTCCAGGGCTGGGAGTGGTGACGTCCACTGCCCCTGCTCTCCAAGCCCCTAGACCTTCTAACAGCTCTTAATTTGTTCACTTCTCATGACAGTAATCTGAGTGAGTGTGTGTTTGTGTGTGTGTGTGTGTGTGTGGATGCACATCTTCTCCACTAGATTATAAGTTCCATCTGTGTATATGCCCCAATGCCTCCTTTAATAAATGTTAGTTTCACACTGTCAGCACAACACACAAGTTCAATTTGGTCTCGTTTTCCTGAGTCTTATTTTCATTTTGTAAATTGGGCTGATTGCTAAATTTAGAAAATGACAAGGTTTTCTGGAGATAGAGGACGTTCATGTATCTATTTATATAAGTCATCTTATTTTTCAATGTTGGAATTCTCATCTCTATTAGACTACATAGAAGACCAGTGCAAGTGAGGTTTAATAGGTATCTGAATATCACCAGCCTCCTAGAATCTGTCAAACAACTGTGAAATGTGTCAGAATCAACATGGAGTCATTTGTGTCAAATAAATAAAAATCAATAGATGAAGCCAAGAGGGCTTTTAAATATGATTTTGTGACGGCAACTATCACAAAAATAACTCTCTCAGAACCCAAAGACCATATGGTCGTCACCACAGCCTCACCCAGGACAGCATTTCTTCAAACATGTCCTGGTGCCATTGTAATTATGAATCTCTGTGGCCCAGGATTGTTGCTCTAAAGTATCTGATGTACTCCTCTGCACTCGTTGCCTTTACAAACTCCCCCTTGCTTCAACATCTTTGAGAACACCCATAGTTTCATTGACACATGTTCCATTGTTGGCTCTTCACAAATAAATATCACTCTTCTTTGGAGAAATTCTTTCTGTTTTTTCCATAAATTTAGATTGACCTATTAAGAGAGGTAATGGGATTTTTAGAAAATCACATGAAAAGGTTAGCTAGGCCCCAAGGGAGGCTGACACCTATAATCTCAGCACTCTGGGAGGCGGAGGCAGGAGGATGACAAATCAGAGCAAGTCTGAGCTATGTGTTGATTTAGCAAGAAACTCTTTGGGGTTTAATCCCCAATACCACACAAGATAGATGATAGTAGATAGATAGATAGATAGATAGATAGATAGATAGATAGATAGAAATTCACAGATCCACAGATAGAAAGGAAGAAAGGGAGAAAGGCAAGCAAGATGGAAGGAAGGAAAGAAGCAAGGAAGGAAGGGATGGAGGGAGGAAAGTGACAGCAGGAAGCAGAGAAGGAAAGGAGGAAGGAAAGGAGGAAACAGTAGATGTCTCAGATAAAAACAACCCTAATGTATATCATTTTTATGGCTCAGATCTTAAGCACGCTCCAAAGGCTCCCCTGTCAAAGGTGCTCTTGACCGTCAGTGGCACCTTGGAGAGGTGCGACTGGTGGTAGAGAGCAGGTCCTTCCAGGTGTCCCTCGAAGGGGATTGCGGGAGGCAGTCTCTTCTTCTGACCTTCTCCTCCTCTCATGCACCATGATCTGAGAAGCTTTGGTCCACATCTTTCCGCTGCCATGATATACCTGTCTCACCTCAGGCCCAGAAACAATGGAGCCAGCTCACCCACCATGCACTGACACCTCTGAAGCCACGAGCCAAGTAAACCGTTCCTCCTTTAAGTTGTTTTGTCACACAGATGGAAAGCGGATGGGCACCACTGTCAAAATCTTCAGGTTTCCAGCACACACAATCAGCGTGATTAACTGACTCTGCTTATTTTTCTGACCATCTTGCAAATGTGAGAGGAATGCAAACCAACTGTCTGCACTAGGAAATGGGCATGGATCATCTTTGACGGGACCACCTAGAAAGAAAATCCCAGTAATACAAAGGAATACTTGTTCCAAGGTGGCCAGTTAAAAACATAAAAATGATTTGTGTTTAGATTCCACAGGTGAGTCCAATCACACTGTATTTGTCTTCTTGGGTCTGGATCTTTTCACTTAACCTTCTGTCCTCCAGGTTCATTGTGTTGCTACATATTTTGGACCTCATTGTTTTAAGGCTGAATAAATTCCCCTGCATGCATCTACCACATATTTTTGCAGTACCAAGGATTGAATGCAGGACCTTCACACTGAGCTACATCTCTAGCCATCTTTTTATTTTGAGACAGGTTCTTCTTAAGTTGTCCAGGTTGGGCTAGAACTTGTGGTCCTCCTACTTTACTCCCCTCACCTCTACATTGAGTGCTGAGATTAATTAAGTGTCCCACCAAGCCCTGCTAGGTGCTGCTTTTTTATTATCCATTCATCTATTGATGGCCCCTTAGCCATCCTGATATTCCTTAGGCTATCGACAACTATTGTATCATTTTATATGCTGAGATATAACTTATTCCAACATACACAAGGTATTGCAATGATGTACCTAATACCTTTTTAGTATATCTTGATCTTTTTCTGTAAGTGGCGTCTTAACAACAAGTGGATATCCTTCAGATAAACTTCGCTGCTTCCCCAGCACCAAAAAAGAGCAATTGTAACATTACAGAAGAGCTGCTTTTAAAGGAATTTCCATCCCTCCATCTGTGTGTTCTGCACCAACACAAAAGTTGCTCAAAACCCAGCAGCTGGCTGCAACCCAGGAGGCTTTTGGTCTTGCTGAGCTGATATTTGATATCATAGAAGTAGACCTGTGTGTGTCCAGGCAACTGGGCTTTCTCTACTCTGCAGACAGTCTCTCCTCTCAGACCTCGGTCTGTACCTTGCCTGCCTTGTCAAAGGGGGAGAATTCTTTTTCTGATGACCCCTTCCTCAACTGGAGCTTCTCTTGGACCACCTTCTTCATCCAGGACGAGCTCTTTTCACTTCTCGTTGGGGACAAACATTTAGCACAGGCTTAGAAGCTAAGTCAGGGGAGAGTGCACCACTGTAAAGGGGGATTAATGAGTGTGTAGGAAGAAAAGAAGGTAGGAATAAAAAAAGAAGTGAGGAAAAATTAAAGAAAAAGGAAAGAAAAGAAGAAGAGGAAGGAAGAGAGAGAATTTTTAAAAAGGGAGGAAAGATAGGAAATACTGGATTCATAATTGAATCATTTTCCCCTTCAATAATTTTCCACACTCAGATATAATTTATAGTGGGTCTCACGGCGGTACATGACAATATCTTTTTTTTTTTTTGAGACAGTGTTTCTCTAAGTCAGTAAGTTGCTTATGCCAGGATCAAACTGGAGATCCACCTACCTCTACCTCCAGAGTTAGATAATGACATTTTAACTACCATGTTGTACAGACCCAATGAAATATTTAGTTTTGCATCCATTTTTTTGCAGATAAAATCAGTGGTGGCTGAGCAGTACTCCATGTTTCAAAAAAAAAAAAAAAGCACACACACACATCTTTATCCAGCCACCAGTTGTTGGGCAATTGGGCTTGTTTCCGAGATTTAGGTATTACAAACTGTGCCCCTATAAACATGGGTGTGCATAAGGGAAATAAATGGGACACACATGTGTAAATAGCAAATAGTTTCTCTGATGTGAAAAAACAAAAGTGTAAGTAAGGATCAAAATATATAATAGCTAATGTGAAATAATGTGGAAGAAAAGGTCCAAAGGGGAAGAGGGAGTAGGAGGGGAAGAGGAAAGGAAAAAATGGAAAGGGAAAAATACGAAAAAAGGAAAAAATGGAAGCAAAATCTTTATAATAGGGAGGGATAGAGGGGTTGAAGGGAGGGCAGGGGAATGGGGAAAAATAAGAACCAGGATACATCGTGTAAAGGTACAAGATCCCAATGATGAATGCCAGCATATTGTACACCTAAAATGTACCAATAAACTTAATGAAGAAAGATCAGTGATATTTAATTATTTACACATAGTAGACTCCTAAGGAATGTAACTCGTTTGCTCATGCAAGGTATTCTGATTCTCCCAATCTCTTCTCCCTCTTTTTTTTTCAACAAGTGGCCCTGACCTTTTGATTTGAAAAGCATTGGTGAACAAGCTAAAAATACAAATCCCACTCTTAGACCTGGTTTGGAAAATCTTTGAACCCGGAAGAATGAAACTACTCGTCTTCAGTTTCTCTGCCCCTACTGACCTTGCTCCGGGGGGGGGGGGAGCTGAAGTCCCTGGAATCCCCAAGAGTCTCTACTTCCTCAATTTGTGGAATAAGAGCTACGTCATCAAACACAGCGTCTGTTCACACTCAGGAAAACTTGTTACGGTGAAAGACATGCTCTCATTCACCTCCCTCAAAGCACCCCGTCTGCTCAGACACACGGATCCTGTTCTTCTTGCCACTTTCTGAAGCGGTTCTGGAAGTCCTCTTTTCTGGGAATCTTTAGTTGTACCGTCATGGTTCCCTCCATGTCCCGAGTCATTAAAAATGATCCTTCATGGTCTTGATGACTTTGAGGAAGAGCCAGAAGTCTCATGCTGTCAAATCTGCAAATAAGGTGGATGAGGACACATCTTCATGTTTTCCTTTTCCATGGGATGGCAGTCAGCAGCAACATTCACTGATTTTTTTTTTTTTTTTTTTTTTTTTTAAGTACCAGGGATCGAACTCAGGACCTTGTGCTTGCAAGGCAAGCAGCGGAACCACTGAGCTAAATCCCCGGCTCCACACTGAATTTTTTTTTTTTTATCACAATCTGTAAAGACACTGAGGAAAGAGGACTTGCAGAAATTCTGCAGAAAGTGGCAAGAAACATGGGATAAGTGAAGGTGGGGTATCGAGGGGGATCAACAGCAATGTGTCTTTTACTGTAAGTTTTGTAAAATTACACAGTACATAGTTTGAACACCCCTTGTAAAGATTCAGTGCTAAAATCGTTTCTCAAATTTCCATGAACAAACAATCATTGGTAGGACTTTAAGCAAGAGAAAGGACCAGGATTCGTTCCTTACAAATTTTAGCTCCCATGCAGGATATTCACCAAGAGCAAAGATCAATAATATCAGTAAAAAAGAGCCAGAGAATATTGATTTTCTTCAGTCATAGCTTCTGCTTGTGCAAAATCCATAGAATGTTCTGGGTTTCTCGTACACTTGATGTTCCCAAAGTCAATTGTGTTAGGAGACCTTCTTTGAAGGTCTCATTCCTACAGGGCTGAAAATAGAGGCCCTTGCTCTATTTTTGTACTGCAATAACTGTACAAGAAAGTTTGCATAGTTTGCAGACTGGGAAAAGAGAATAATTCTCCCTATGCGTTGGTTAGCTTTCCATGACTGTGGCAGAATACCTGAGAAAAGCAACTTAA